AAAAAAAAAAAAAAAAGGATGAAGGAACTAAAAATTGGGGATATAAATAAAGGTTTATCTAGAGGAACACCGGAAGGATAAAGTTGTAATTTAGATACTGTGCAAAAATTTGAAATTTAGAACAGAAGAAAGCGTTTTTTTTCTTTATGAAACAGAAAGCTGAAAATTTGAACAAAAATCTGCAAAAAATAATCATCAGAATCTTTAGAGAAATTTTTTGGATTTTCTACGTTTCCTGCTTTTAGAATGTCACATACGATGGTCACCCAAAGGCGTCCTGTAAATTGCAGATTTTATAGGTAGTTCTCAAAATTCTACTTTTGGTAAATAAAGCCATGTTGCATTTTGGCTGAATTTCCCGAAGAACCAAACTGTCTTAGAGGTTGGCCACAGAAGTGGAAAAGTAAACAGTATATTGCAAAATTCTACTGGCAGTATCGCACCGGTAGAATCCACGAAATAAACTGAAAGTTAGATTTCAAACTTTTTAATTGTATTTCTGCAGTGTCCCGCAGCTGGCCGACTGTATGACAAACATGACAAAGATTTTAGAAGTTATCGTCTAATTACCGGCAGAAAAGTTTGTCTGATTTGTTAGTTATAACTGTAAGAAGTACTACAATTAAAAATGAAGAATAAAATTTTTATATATTACTACTGAATTATTTGTTTTGTCTGACGTTCTTTTCAGCAATCTATCCAATTCCTTCTGTGTATTCCACGTAATGGAAAATATTTCAAATTTTAACAGTGCGTAATTAAACTTAATGCTAATGTTCTTAATTGAACAAAGCTTAGCTTATGGTGTACGTTTAATGCAGAAAGTCAATGGTATAGTGTAATTGGTAAATTTAATGAATATTGAAACAGAAGAGAAAATAAGGAAACTTTTAGCTTTAGAGATCTTAACCTTCAGTCATTTTACATGCATAAACTCGCGCATAAAAGCCATTTTTATTGTTTAGAGGTATTGATATTAAAAATCAGCAGAAAAAAAACTGAAATTTATACATAATTTTGAAGTTTCATTACACACTTCTGTTCTAAACCAATCGATTTCAATAGAAAAAAGGTGCAGAAGAAAGTAGGCTTAAATTTTTGTCTGTAAACAGTCTTAATTGACGTTAAATGTTCATCATTTCATGCCAAAAAGCTACTCTTTTCAACTTTAACCTACCGATTTACCAGCATTTTTTCACTTGCACAAATATTTTTTGCAGCACTAACAACAACCAAAAAATGAATATTTGACGCATTATGCCAGCGAGTTTTATGTTCAGAAAAATAAAAAAGTGAAAAAAAAAAAACGAATTAAAGGTTCTGTCTGAAAAACGAG